AACCTCTCCCACTTCGCCCCGAGTTGGATGGCTTTACTTAGTGATCAGATTTCTCAGGCTCTGACTCAAAAAGCGTGTGTTTAGGTTTAAAAACCCACACATGTTGGCCAGTAGCCCACAGTGGAAAAACCCCTCCCACCAGCCAGGAGGGCCCTTGAAGCCACCCCTGAGCCGCCTGAGGCTGAGAATCCATGCATTTCCACCTCCTTGGCCACACCCTGTGCACCTGGGGTGGTGGGAGGTGGGGGGTGTCCCCAGGTGCGAGTGTGGGAGTCAGGGTTTTGCGCTCCCAGCACTGTCCCTGGCTGGGCCTGCCCAGGCAAGGTCAACAGATCTGTTAAAGGTCACACAGCTGCTAAAGGAGAAACGGGTATGGGAACCCAGATCTCGGAACCCCAGGAGATCTGATCAAGCAGCTTCCCCTCGAGTAGGGAAGACAAGACAGAATGGAAGAATTTTAACAAAAATGATGCTGCCTTTGCTTATTCACCACTGACTGCAGTCAGGCCTGCTAAGTGGTCCCAGGCCCAACTCCACTGTTGTCCTGTCTTGGTGAATGTGTATTGCGTGCCCACTACATCCAGCCCGGGGCAAATCATTCCACCAGCTGTCTTTAATCCTCTCCATGTGGTAGGTACTGCTGTTATCTCCATTTCACAGATGAGACTTTTGAGACACAGAGAGTTTAAGTCACTTGCCCAAGGTCACAGAGTCTGCAGGCAGCTCGAGTAGCAGTTGGAACCCAGGACTGAACTCCAAGCCCATGTTCCAAGGCAACCTGACCATGGTTCAAATCTGCGCTCTGCTGTTTAGTAGCTGGGAGCGGCCCCCACAGTCCAGGGGATGTGACCAGAGGTAGCCTTCAAGCCAGTCAAGATGGCCCCAGAGGTGGAGGAATAGGTCTGGTGCTGTGGCCACTGGCTGAACTCCAAACACAATATTCCTGGTCCTGCTCAGTAGAGACCCAGCCTGCAGGGCTTGGGGGGTGCTGGAGACCTGCCAAGCCCGCCCCTCCTCCCCACACTTGGACTCTGCCCATCCCCCTCCACAAGTGTCCACATTCCCAGCCAGCCCTGTTGGCCACCGGCAACTTCGAAAGTCTAACAACCAGCTCATCAAGACAGAGGACAGGGAGTGAAGGCCCAAGAATCCCCCTCTGCCACTGCCCAGCCAGGCAGGGTATCAGGGCTTACAGGACGGTGGACGTCAGGGGACACATGGCCCCGGGGACCCCACCCTAGCTGGGTCTGGGTGTCTATCAGTTCTGGGTTTGTTGATTTGGCTCAAGAAAAGCTCTCATCTCTGGGTCTCGATTCCCCATCTCAAACACAGGGTGTAGGGGAAGACAGTGTACTCTTAAAAAGTCTTTGGAAGTGGAAAGAGGGATAGAGAGACATGGGGCCAGAGAGACCAATGGGCAGAAGAGCATAGAGATGGGGGCTAGAGGAGCAGAGGGGCATAGAGGCAGGAGCCAGAGAGGCAAGAAAGACAACCAGTGAGCCAGAAGGGCATAGAGTCAGAGGGGCAGAGGGGCACGGTTCTGGTGGGGGCAGGGCAGTGGAGCCAAGAGACCAAGACAGAGGACCAAAGAGCTAAGGGACATACAGTTGGAAGGCCAAAGGGGCTTTCAGACTAGGGGCCAGATCACAAAGGCTCATGCCTAAGGAGCCAGAATTTTGGAGGGGATGGAAATCAGGGTCCAAAAAAGACACAAGGACATAGAAATCGGAGGGCTAGAGGACCCGAAGGGCCATATGGTTGCAGAGAACAGGTGAGCAAGGGGCTGGCCTCCTATTCTCCCTCTGCCCCTCCAGCCCCCTCAGGCCCCGGCTCACCCAGGCAGCGGGTGCCATCCAGGCTGCTGGCAAAACCACGGGGACAGGTACACACGTAGCTCCCAACAGTGTTGGTGCAGTCGCCCCCGGAGCAGAGGCCGGGCACACTAAGGCATTCATCCACATCTGTGTAGACAGATGCCCCATCAGAGCAGGGCCCCCACCAGCCCTACGCGACCTCCTCCTCCTCCTTCCAGGGGAGACTGAGCCACCCAGAGCAGAGAGGAGGTCCCAGCCTGTCCCTCCCCGGTCACCCACCTTCACACTTGGCGCTGTTCTCACTGAGCCGATGTCCAGAGGGGCAGCGGCACTCAAAGGAGCCCACAGTGTTGACACAGCTGCCCCCCTGGCACAGGCCTGGGACAGCCTGGCACTCATCCACGTCTGTAAAGGAGTGAGAGGCCCATCAGAGAAAGAAACCAAGGCTGCTGAGGGCTCCCACTCAGCCTTGGCTTCCGAGACCTCTGTCCTCACATGCTGGCCCCTCACTCACCTTGGCAGGCCCCTGTGCGGATATTGGGGATGAAGCCCCGGCGGCAGGGGTGTGGCTGTGCTGGGCAGAGCTCACATGGGAGGCCCCAGGCACGGCCCACGGTGGCACAGCAGAGAGCCTTGGTACAGGCAAGGCCTGTCAGTTGGTGCTGGCACCCCTCAGGGCCCACTCGACCAAAGCAGGGCCCTGTCCGGTAGTCTGCAGGGCAGATAGATGTGGGCAGCTGGCCTCAGGCTGCCCCCACCCGCACAATCTTCTGCATCTCCATCCCAGTACCCCCAGCTCAGGCCTCTACTTCTGTAGCCTGGACCAGTGCAGCAGCTGCCTTCCCAGCCTCCCTATACCAGCACACCAGGTTTTTCCCTGACCACAAGCATTTATTCATACTGTTCCCGTTCCTTACCTGATGAACTCCTATTCACCCTTCAAAACCCTTTCTCTTTAAAGCATTCTCCAGCCAACCTCCAAGAGAGGCCAGGACCTCCAAGCCCACAAAACCCAAGACCTGTCTGAAGACTCCTACCCCTCCCCTAAGCCCACCCTCCCTTCAGGTCTGGGAAGGGACCCATGGATGCCCCACTGGAGAGCCTGTCTCATCCCTGAGCACGTATCTGGCCCTGCCAAATCTCCCAGACTGTGGGAGGTACCCAGTATCCGCCCAAATGCTCTGAACCCACAATTCTACATTCCTGACCGAGCAGAAGGTGGTCTCCTCGGTGCCCCCACTGCTGTGCACGGGCCCAGATGTGACTTCCTGGCTCCATCCTCCAGATGGTTCCAATCAAGGGGCTGGCACTGGACCAAGGGAAGCCCCTCCCAGAAGGAGAAGCCAAAACCAGCCCCCAGCCCAGGCCCCATATGGAGAAGGGGCTTCACAGAGACCCCCCTCCTCCGCTGACGGTCCTGACTCCCAACGCCAGTTCACCCAAGACCCTGGAACCCCACTCACTCCTGCCGAGGCACCCAGCCCTGCCTCTCTCAGGGGCCCCCACCGTCCACCACCCACCCAGGCCTCTCCTCTCTCACCCTCCCCACTAACCTTCACTCTCCCTCAGCTACCCGGTCTGCTCCCCCTCTGTCAGCCCAAAGTCCAACTCTGCTTTCTTATCAAATTCAGTTTCCCAAAGCCCACCCTCGAACCCAAGTAACCCTCAGCTCCCCCAGCCTCTGATTCATTGCTCTACTCTCTCCAGCCCGACTTTGGCCACAGATGTGCCTCCTCCCCCAGTGGCATCCCCGACACTGGGGTTAGTTCCAGGGCCCTGGCCATCTTAGCCCTCCTGGACTCCTTGGGCAGGCTGAGCCCTCTGATGGCTCCAGCAGCTGAAAAACCCACCAGCCTGGGCATCCGCAATGCCACCCACTCCTGTTCACTACCTCCGTCTCAGCCTCCAGTGGGCTCCATCTTTTCAGGGCACCTTTAAATTGCCCTCCCTTCTTTTCCCCAGGAACCTCAACTATCTGCTAGGCTTCAGACCCCATGGATGGGGCAGCCACTGGCCTGGGTGTCCAGCTGCTTCTTAGATGACCCACAGGCTCCTCAGCCAACACTGAGCTCAAGGTCTTCCCCCTCCCTGACTGCCAGCTGCACCAGCTTTCCCCTAGTTTTCAGATCAGACCCAGAGTTCATCCCTGCCTCCATCCCTCCCCACCCCCATCCAGCTTCTCACAAAATCCCGCTGCTCCCACCATCTTTGTCTTGGCAACAGCCTCCCAACAGGTGACCTCACCCACCTCAGCCCATGGGATCATTCTCATGGGCTCCAACTTATCCCTTCCTGCAGGAAGCCCTTCCTGACTCCCTTCCCTGAAGCAGACAGTTTCTCTGCCCTTTGCAGCAGCAGGGACAGCAAGAAGGAGGTCAGCTGGACCCTCCCAGGGCCTGGCCATGTATCAGGGGCTGCCAGGAAGCCCTCCTCCCCCCCAGACCCCTTCCCCATGCTCAGCTCGGTACCTCTCTCACATTGAGGCCCCATGAAGCCGTACACACAGGCGCAGTGGTTCGGCCCAATGCAGCGGCCCCCGTTGTGGCAGCCGCGGTCACAGATGGCTGTGAAGGAAGGGAGTGGGTGGGTGGCCTGGGGACCCCCAGCAGCAGAGAGTGCTGGGGCCTGAGCAAGCCCTTCTTCATACCAGGAATCCCCACAATCCGGCCCAGACTGAATGATAAGAATGTGACAATGTGTCCCCTCCAATCCCTGTCCTAGAAGAGTGACCCGTGGGCAGCGGGCAGGTGGCAGCAGGGAACTGCCTTCTGTGGTCCCCAGCCCAGGTGCGTATGGGGGCTACTCACGCTGCCCACATACGGTGCCCGTGTAGCCCCTCTGGCACAGGCAGGACTCCCCTTGGCAGCTGCCCCCGTTCATGCAGCTCACACTGCATCCTGACCCTGAAGTGGGGGAGGCGGGACACACAGTAAGGCCCGAGATGCACATACAAGGTAGTGGGACCAGGTGCAACCAGCCCAGCTCTGGTCCTGCAGCAAAACCAGCCTCGGCTCCCAGAAGCCTCCGGAAGCCTCTCACCTTCCCTTCCGGCCCCTGGGGGTCACTTCCTGCTCACCTCGGTTCACCCCGCAGCTGGGGGCCAGCTTCCCGTCCGCGCAGGCGCACAGGTTGGGTCGGGAGCAAAAGCCCTCGCCACAGGCGTGCCTACAGACGGCTGGAGAGTGGGCAACAGTCAGGGCCAGGCCCCGAATCCTCCACCATCCCCGCCCCACGGGTACCGGGCCGAGGCTCCAGTTTCCTGCTGAAGCCATTGGGAGAGAGGTGCTCTTTGGATGAGAACCATTGAGCGGTAAGGAGAGAAGCTGCAGGTGCTGGGGCAGTGGCTGTGATGCTGCCGGGGAGGAGGGTGGAGTGAGAGTCTCCGGGAGCGGGAGTAAGATTCTAGACACTCTGGGGAGGGGGGAGGGCAGAGAGAGACAGAGAGACTGAGAGAGAGAAAGAGATACACAGAGAAAAAGACAGACACAGAGAGACAAAGACAGAGACAGAGACTTAGGGAAAGACCAAGAGAAAGTGAGACCAAGACAGAAAAAGACAAAGGACTGAGAGACAGACAGACGCACAGGCAGTTGTGGTGTGGCGTGGCAGCCTGAGGACAGAGGCAGGGGCCATTCCTATGGTTTAGCCAGATGCCCTAGGCCAAGTCCTCTTATAAGCAAGGCTGGGCTGCTGGCAGTAGGACAGCTGCCCCAGCGTCCCCTGCCTGCACCTCCCACCTCCAGAAGGCAGTGGCACTCACGCATGACACACTGGTTCCCACCGGGCAGCGTCCTCCAGCCAGGGCAGCAGTAGGCATGAAAGCGGGAACCACACACGTTTGGCCTTCAGAAGAGCAGGCGTGGCTGGTGAGACCCTGCAGGCTGGATGTCCCTTGGGTCTCGTCCCCCAACCTAGTGGGACAGCCCAGCCCAGCCCACACCCCAGGGGCCTCCCAGCATCCCTGGTACCACACACCCCTGCAAGACGCCTGGGCTGCCACGCCTGCGCATGCGTCCGAGACCGGCAGACTCCACCGCCCTGTCCCAACGGCCCTGGACACCCGCCACGCACAACAGGACTGTCCAGGCCAGCAGGAGCCGAGCCAGGGGGTCCCGGGCAACGGCAACGGTGCTGGCCCTTCTTCCTGTCAAGCACGGACCCTCCAGAACCATGATGTGTCCCTCTGAGGCTGCGGGGAGGAAGCAGAGTCAATCTTACCAGAAACCCTTGGCCACAGGGCACCCAGGAGAACCAGGAGCAGTGGGACAGCTGCTGGGATGCAGAAACTGGGGGCCTGCGGGAATCCAGGGACACATTCGACCCTGACCCGGAAGCAGGTGAACAGTCAGGGGAGACTTCTAGGAGGAGGTGTGGTATCTCAGAGATGGAGTCAGCCAAGAGAAGGGTGCTGGGACAGAGCGAGCACAGTGAGAGCAGAGGTGAGAAGAGCATGGAACACTAAGCGGAGGGGACAGAGGGCCTGGGGGCCCTGGTGTTTCAGGAGTGCACAGTGGTGGAGAGGAGCATCTACTTTAGGCCAAGGGCTATGGAGAGCCCTTGAAGGGCTTTAAGTGGGAGGAAGAAGGGCAGAAATGGGCGTTTGATGGAGTGTGGAAGGGCTTGTAGGGACCCCAGAGGAAGAATGCAGTTAGGGAGGCTGAGGGCAGGCATCCAGATGAGAGGAAAGGATTTGGAGGACAATGAGGAGGTGAAGTAAACGTCAGTTAGAGGTTGATTTGAAGGGAGATGGAAGGCCTGAGGAGACTCCTAGAATTCTGGCTGGTAGGGCTGAGTGGAGGGAGAGAGGAGTGGGAGCTAGGTGACAGGAGGACATTCTGGGCAGGAGCACAGGGCACAATGGACAGAGCAGTCCTCGGCCCAGCAGTCAAGGGACACTAAGGCCATCACACAGTGAGGAGCTGAATGGGCGATGAAGCCCAGGCAGAGGGGTGGGAGGGGAAGAGGATCCAAGGCACCCCACCCTCAGGAGGTGGCTGACTCTCTCCTGGGCCTGGAAGGACCGGAGGGAGGCGATGGCGGAGGAGATGATCAGGCAAAAGTTAGGGTGAAAACTGAGTACTCCAGGGACAGAAGGCAGACCAAGTGGCCCTCCAGGACAGGATGGGTGAGGGGGCTTTTAAGCCCCACTTTCTGGACCAGGGAGGAGAGGAACTGGGCTGGGAGCACAATGGATGAGTCCACTGTGTGCCCTTGGGCCAGTGGCTGCTCCTCTCTGGGCCTCGGGGTGACATGAGGGTCTGACCAGGTGGCTCCAAGGTCCTCAGAGAAGGAAAAGATCCTTGTCATCTTTGTTGGGCAGGGGAGAGAGTCGGCCCGGCTGGTGAGGGAGGGACACCCCTTCCTGCTTCCAAGCTGTCCAGGAGGGTCTGCGCTCTGAGGACTCCTCTAGGCAGCTCAGGGCCCCGCGGGGCCTCCATCTCCTGCCCCGCCAGCCTCAGCTCCCCCAGCCTCCGCGCCCCTCCCTCCAAAACTTTCGCCTCCGC